GGGGGGGAGGGGGAGGAAGGAGCAAGCGGCACACGTGACGGCAGCCCCCTCCCCCGGCCGAGGGGAGCGAGGGGCTACGCGGGAGGCGGGGGGAGGACGGCTGCGGTCCCACCGCGGGGAGCGGCCGGAGCGCTTCGCTGCGAGCCGTGGGGCAACGACGGTGTGCGGAGCCCCGGTCGCTTGGCGGGGGCGTTCCAAGCCGATGGGTTGGGGTCCGGTCAGGGACTCGTAACCCAGAGCTTTTAACCGCCTGTGTTGGTTTTTTTTTCCCCGGTCACCTGCGAGGGGATGCTCGGCGGCCGGCAGCGCAGGACAGGTATCCCAAGAGCCGGCTCAGCGCCTTGCTGAAAGTTGGGGGTGAACTGACAGCGCCGTCACCATTTTTACATAGGGAAAGCGCAGACAGTATCTGTGCCTTCAACATGGTGTGTTTTTTTTCCGCTGTCACTAATACTGTATGCAAGTTTTTTATCCCTCTGTGCAAAGCATCCCTCTGTGGGAGCAGAGCTGACCATTTCTCTCTGTTGCTGCTGCTGCTGCACGCCGCCTTCTTGCCCCAAGACCTGTGTGGTGGGACCTGAGCGTAGCCTGCCATCAGAGCAGCCCCAAGTAAGATCACAAACATAGCTGTGGGTGCAAGGAAGTCAGGCTGTTGTCTTCTTAAATGTGATGACGAGCTGCGTCCTGGACCATTAAAACTGAAAGAGCTGTTTCCTTCCGGCATACACGGAGCTCAGTGCCGACTGCCCCTGCCATGTAAACGTTTTTCTGTAATTATTCGCTCCCTTTGTTCGCTGTGATGCCAGATGTCAGCAGACCCCCGCTCCTCAGTGAGGTGCAACACGTTAACCTGCTCTGCTGGCACCAGGCGCCGAGTGAGGTTAGTTAAAGCTTGCTCAGATGTCTGTGTGCTGCAATCTGCTCTGCTAAGTGGATAAACCCCTTGGATCATTAGGCTGTGGGGCTGGCACAGAACTCGTGTTTTGAGGCTAGCACTTTTTTTTTTTTTTACTCCTATCATAGAATTAAAGAATCGTAGAATGGCCTGTGTTGAAAAGGACCACAATGATCATCTAGTTTCAACCCCCTGCTATATGCAGGGTCACCAACCAGCAGACCAGGCTGCCCAGAGGCACATCCAGCCTGGCCTTGAATGCCTCCAGGGATGGGGCATCCACAGCCTCCTTGGGCAACCTGTTCCAGTGTGTTACCACCCTCTGTGTGAAAAACTTCCTCCTAATATCCAACCTCAACCTCCTCTGTCTCAGTTTAAAACCACTCCCTTGTCCTACCACTTTTCTTGGTCTCCTCCTATAATTCTGGGACCAAGAGTCCCAGACACAGTTTCAATTCAGCTTTCTTCCACACACAGCTGACATGAAATATAACATTTTTTTTCACAGATTATTGCAATGGATGAAGTCTCTCCAGTGTCTCCCAAGACAACTTTTTCTTCATACAGGTAGTATGCTTTGTATATGCCCAAATCACAGCGATGTTCTGGGATCATGCTGTGAGCAACTAATACAGGCGACTACTTCTCCTTGTCTGTCATTCACAGTCTGTAATAAAAATGCTTTTTATAAATGTCTAAGTGCATGACCTTATTTTTTCTGTTATTGAATTTCATCTCATTTTTTGTCCTTCCAGTTCCCAACAGGATGTAGTTACTGGAAGGCCAAGCCCAGAGAGTGGTGATGAATGGAGTTTGTTAGATCCAGCTGGTGACCGATCACAAGTAGTGTTCCCCAGGGATTGGGAACACAATATTAAATGGAACATATTAAATGGAACACAAGTAGTGTTCCATTTAATATCTTTATTAATAACCAGGGACAAAGGGATTGGGTGCACCCTCAGTAAGTTCGGAGATGACACCAAGCTGGGAAAAAGTGTTGACCTGCCTGAGGGTAGGAAGGCTCTACAGAGGGATGTGGACAGGCTGGATTGCTGCGCCAATGGCAGCCTGGCTTGTGTCAGAAACAGTGCAGCCAGCAGGAGCAGGAAGCAGGAAGATGATATCCCTCTGTACTCACCTCTAGTGAGCCCACACCTCAATACTGTGCTCAGTTTTGGGCCTCTCAATACAAGAGAGACACGGAGGCCATGGGAATGTGTTCTGAGATGGGCAATGAAGCTGTGAGGAGTCTGGAGCAAAATCTTATGGGGAGCTGGAAGAACTGGTATTGATCAGTCTGGAGAAGAGGAGGCTCGGGGGAGACCTTATCCTCTCTACAATCACCTGAAAGGAGGTGGTAGCAAGACAGGGTTGGCCTCTTCTTCCAGGTGGCAGTGATAGAACAAGAGGGAATGGCCTCAAATTGCACCAGGGGAGGTTCAGGTTGGATATTAGGAAAAATTTCTTCTCAGAAAGGATGTCCAGGGAGGTGGTGGAGATGTCCCTGGAGATGCTGAAGAACCATGTGGCTGTGGTACAGAGGGACACGGGTAGTGGGCATGGTGGGGATGGGTTGGGCTTAATGGCCTTAGAGGTTTTTTCCAGCCCTATTGATTCTGTGGTTCTATGCTATCTTGGAGATGTTCTGAATCTCATTTGTCCTGACAGTCCTGCCCAGAGCACTCCGGCTTTCATGTTTATGCAAATACATGCAAATTAAAACTCTTGGTCCCAGGACAAACTTTAAGAAACAGTAATAGCTACTTTTCCCAGTTTACACGTTCCCCTTCCAGGGCTGCATGTTGTCATTTGCAGTGAAATCCCAGCTGAATGTGCAGCTTTGTTTCAGATTCCCATCTCTTTCAGCTTAACTAGGCAATCCCTGTGTGGCATCACATGAAAGCTTTTAGCAAGTCCACACAGACTGTAAGTAAATCTCATGAGGTTTGTGGTTTTTTGGTAGCTTGGGTGTTTTGTTTTGTTTTTGTTGTTGTTGTTGCTGTTGCTTTTTTTCTGGACTCCTGGGATAAAGGCTAGAAAAGCCATGCCTGAGTTGTGCTATCTGTCTGGAGACCTCTTTAGCTCAGCTTTAAGTGAGTGATACAGTCACACTTGATTGGCAAATTCACACTGTGCCAGCTGGGTTTTCATTCTTATTCTGTTCTCTGATATATATGTTTAAAAAAAAAAAAAAAATCCCAAACCCAAAAAGCACTAAAAAAATCTAAACACTTTCCTGCCAACCAAAGTAAAAGAGTTCTAGAAGAGTTTGAACAAGCTGCTTTCGCAATACAAATTTCAGGCTGAGGGAATGCCACACCATGGAAATGACAGCTCTGGTATTTCTTTGAGATCATGCTAAACTCTGACGCATTTGGTACCTTTCATCTTTGGCACGTAAATATGACTGTATTGCAATTATACAATAATTCAACTTCTGCTCAACTCCAACTGCTCTCCTGCAAAAGGAGAAAGCTCCACAGATTGTCTAAAATTGTCATCCTCCGCAAGCTCTTGAACACAAACAGCAGTTTTTCAGTTTGCTGCTGGTACATGTAGCACTTCTGCTCTCCCTTCTTTTTCTCCAGTAATATTAAGAAGGAAGATGTACAACCAAATGGAAGCAGGGAATATGCAAGAGCAGAGAGAAGCTGCCAGACCAGTGAGGGAGGTTGCATTTGCTAGAGATCTGGAAAAAAGTATTGACATGTGGAATCAAACTCAATAACCCATGTAAGGTTATAAAGCAGGTATGTTTATTATGGTGCCAGGTATGAGGGAGATAATTCTTCCTAACTCACACACCAACATCTACATTTGCATTGGATTACATAAACGGCGAGCTGAGCTTGCTTAAACAATTCCGAGAACTCATCATAATATTCCAATTAGTTTGAGGAAGTCATTATAATTCGTTCCACCTCCACACATATGCATGCTGCTCCCTGGTGGTTGTGGGCAGGGGTCTTCAAGTCTTCCTCATGAAGGCTTCCCAGTGTACTTTTCACCTTTGGCTCGTCCTATGGTCTACATAACCGCAAGATTGCTATATACTAGCTTACATCCTGGTCCTTACCACAAAGTTCTTGCTGTGTCAAGTTATAGCTACCACAGAGTTCCTGTTGCTGTTGCATCACTCTGCTTTATGCCTATGTGTCAGGTCTAGTCAGTATAGATACATTTAGTCGTGATGGCACCGGTTTATTTCATCTTAGGCTACAATATGTGGAACAGAGATCTGTAATTTACTGAAATTGTTATACTGTTGTCTGAAGCCCCATCCACCCCAGTGCATGAGACATTAAAATCCTGTCCTTACCAATCTTTTTGTCGGAAAATTGTACTTACAAATCCCAAGTTTCACTCTTAGCAAAAATAAAAAATCCAGCTCCTGTATTTGTGAAGAAGACATAAAAAACGTTAATATAGTGTAAACTAATTGTGTTTACAGAGTCCCAGCAGGGCTGAGGAGGGCAGAGCCCTCTGGGCCCATCAGGTCCCAGCCCCGCTCCAGCAGGGCTGCCCAGAGCAGGGTGCCCAGACCTATGGCCAGGAGGTCTGGAGATCCCTGAGGAGGAGACCCCACAGCCTCTGGGCAGCCTGTGCCAATGCTTGCTCATCCAGACAGCAAAACACCGTTTCCCGATGTTCGGATCTCAACTCCTGTGTTTCACTTTGTGCCCACTGCC